GAAGTTACAACAACGCTTAACCATCAGTTACTGAAGTGGATTATCGACAACGTATTAGCGACGTTAAGAGAAAAAGTAAATCAAGCGTGAAATTGATTTTTTTGCTCAAATAGAGCACACGTATCGCTAGCAGCAGCGCGGCGGCGGGTAACAAGCAGAAATTGCGTTAAACTCCAATTACAAGGTGAAAATTACAAAAAGAAGCCAACTACAAAACGAATTGAAATTGAGAGAATTGAAAATAAACAATAAAAGTACCTGGTTTTCTCTTATCCAATCAAAAGATAAATGATCCATAATGCAGACAGAGACATTACATTACAGGGTCAATAAAAGAATGTAAACACTATTGTTAAAATAACTCTACTATTAACTTCATATTTGATTCAATCTCAGAAATGAATATTGGATTCATTTTCCCTTAATGGGAGACGGAAACTGTAAGTGCTCTTAAGTACTTTTTTGCTATTAAACTATTTCGTCACATCAACCGTTACGAATCGCGACTAGTTACATGAAAGTTAATTATATCACCCAAAATGTACTTACTTGCCTATGTCTGTGTTAAGTGGAACAAGGGAGAATCAATAATGAAAAGGAGAGAAACGGAGAACTCTCAAACACCAGTCTCCTTGATGATGTTGAAGGAGTTTTTCGTTCAGAATGATTACTCCTGCTATTAGCGAATTAGAAAGCACCAACACAGAAAAAAATGACCTAATACACCAGCACTGCAAGACATGTTATCATAACACTTACAAGATTTTTTATACAGTGTATGTAACATGTCGCTTCTACAGGGAACCGACCTATTAACAACAATAATTTTCATTTCATTACCACAGAATGATACGGGGAAACAAATATTCTTGTTAAGCTAACTAAATGATTTATTGTGGGATGATTCGGTTTTATACATTCTCTGCTGTATTAAGTGTATTAAACGTTATGTATTTTTAGAGATCCCGTTTTATAACCCTTAAAACAATTCTATTAGCCAGTAACAAAAATATGCCGGTGGTGGGGTGCGTGACCTCTAAGTCGTTAATTTTGGCGCATTTTTTCGCGGAGCTTGTATCGACAAGATCGTTTATGTGTTTTTTCGTGCTTTTATGCTTGTATTTGTATGAAAAATTGGAAATGCCATGGACATTTTTTTTGGAAAATTGGGGATTAGCGGGGCTCATTCCTTCATTTCAAGGTACGTACATGATACTTATGTTTTTTATAGTAAGTAATTCTAGATAGATAATTTGTTAATAAAGGCATGGTTTGGTTCGGTAAAAGACTGTAGAATTCTCATTTTTCTCATTTTTCTTCATTCTTTGTTTTCAGATTGACAGTGATTTTAACCATTTGTACCCGGACAAAATTGATCAACTATACGCAACGTTCCCCAAAGTTGCTCAAGCTATAATAAGCTTGGCGAAATAGCGAAAAATCAAAGTTGTGACATATAGTGACTCTATTAATATTGCCGTATTTATTTGCTCCAATTACGATTCAAAGGGGCTCTTCTAGGCTCACCTGGCGACCATCGAGAACGAAAACGGCAGAGAGTTTCGTTCTGCATATTAAGGTACATCCACATTACACTTTATAATAACTTAAAAATCCTTTCGAGCAATTAGCAATTTTTTTATAATTCCAATACACATTCTAATTCTTAAAAAAATTCTTTTCTTTTTTTGTGTATAATAAGTGAAACATATAAGTTTGTTTTTCAATCTGAACTGTATTACCACAAACAAATAACCTTACATACTCTATAATGGTAAATGTTATGTATCAGTATTTTTCTAGTTCAAATTTGTGTATTCGTTTTAAAAATTTCTCATTTTAAAATAAATGTTTATTTTTCATAGGTACTTCGTTTTTGTGTCAATTATATGTTGACATTTAACCTAAATTCCCATTTTCCCAAATATATTTGCAATGAAAATAGTGTATAGAAGTAAGTGAACATTTCATAAAGGCTAATATATTAGATTATTATCAGACTACAAATAAATAATAACTGGTATGAAAGAAGCCTATAATCTTAATCAGCTAATTTCATTAGAGCAGCGTCTGTAATTAAACCAGTGGCAAGAAATTTTAATATCTGTTATAAGAATATCTTATAACTGTTACGGCGCCCTTCAATTATTTTTATGTAATTGGTTATAGCTGTGGCTAAATAATTTTGTTAACTCTATGAACTAACATTACTGTCAATATTGAAATGCATTAATACCCTTTATCAAACGTTTCATAACACTAATAAGCTTTAGTTGTATTATATTTATGATACAGTTTGGCAATTCGTGTTTCATACTAGGAGCAACTCGCTTCACTGTCCCAAATAGTATACAACTATTTAATAAAGAATATGAGAATTCTGGTAATGATTAGACCGCATTTCGTTCAGTGAACGAATTGCGTATTGATGAAATTAAAGTAGGAAGTCAGAATTAGAGCTGGTTAATTAATGAAGAAAATTTAAATTCCATTATTTCTGTATGTGCGTCCATTAGTTCTGTTCTGTACGGCGAACCTATCGCTCACTCCTAACTCTCGCTTCTTTACTATGTATCTATGTGGGTGTACTAGAAAAAGAGCGAGAATTCAAGGTTAGCGATAGGTCTACCGGGTATCCTACATACCTTACGTTAATGTTAACATCATTAATATACATGTTGTGGGATGTATGTAGGTAACTCATAAATACACTCATAAATAGTCTGTTTATAAGATAAGTTATCCACTACTTTTTATCAAACAGAATTATAAAAGCTACATTATTATTTAATTTATAATTTAGTATACTAGCATTTTCCGTTTCTATACAGTCAACCCCTACATTTAATTAACCCTTAGTAGGTACATACACTCCAAATATATTTACTCATAGAATAATATACCTATACAGCAACTTTACAACTAGTTCTTCATCTTAGGATTTTCACCTCGTACGAAACTCTCGACCTTTTTGTAATTAATTTTCATGTTCGAGCTTTGTCTGTCTAGACATTAATGAACTAATTAAATTAGTACTTTCCTCCAGACCCTGCAGTACGTTGATGATACAACTAATATAATTATTACTACATGTTGCTATAAAGCTTAATTATACGAGCAAAAATGAGAGGAAATATTGAAAATGGAAATAATAAGAAACTTCTTTGTAAGAGATGCTTTGATTTCGATAAACGAGTAAAAAGTGTTACATAATTTAAAATATTTTTTTCAAACTAGTCGAATAACTTGAATGTTTGTCAAAACAAGTGATTACATAATACCTCTCTCACACAATTCCATAAAGAAAACCTTTTATTTATTTTTTTTCGTAAAAATCTGTATTATGTAACTAAATACTGCAGTCGTCAAGCACAGAATGTAAACAAACTATCCCCGTCACTGTCTACGTTAACGGTATTGTCTCTTTCTAATGACGCAGTACAATTTTACACGGGCACATTAGGCGGACAAAATATAAAATTGAATATTTACCTGTTGGACTTGGATTGAGCGTCATGAGGATGTGGTGAACATTCTTGTTGCTGAAGTGACTGTTCTTTAGAAAGCTTAATCCCCTGGTTATTCCTTTGGATTTGTGAAGATTGGAAACAGCGGTGTTAATAGCCCTGATATATTCTCTAACTCCGAAATTTGTGTGAGGCAGGATTAGGCCGATGTTGAGGGAATCGTTGTGTTTCGAGAGAGAGTGAGTATAGAAGGACGCGACTCCGGATAGTATACACAAAATCATACACACAAAGCACGACATATTTATTCGTTGATGATAAGAAATGCATATTAGACGAAGAACGCGTTTTTTTGGCACATTATTTGGATTTAGTATGAAGGAAAAAGTGAGGTTGAGGAAGGTATTGCAATGATAGCGTACACGCGAGGCCCTGAGCCACGGGGTTGGCGGCAGGATTGCAGGGTTGCCGTGCTACTCCTTACGAGTCCTTACGGCTTGCTGGTATAATAGGAGAGAAGTCGAAGTTCTTGATTATGTAATGAATACAAGCTAGTGCACGGAAAAAGTTTCATTCAAAGTTGAAGATAAATTGCTTCATATAGGAACTTTCTATTTAACGAATGCCTTATTCAATGAGCTTATTCAAATTTTCTATTTAATCTTATTTATTATACGTATTTAATCAACTGCTCTACTATAAATAGGGTTGAAAATTTTTTATTATTTTGTTTTAAATAAACCTGGCTAAATATTTCGCCTTGATAGAAAAATGAAAACGTTATTTCAATGTTAAATGATTGTACATTAAGTACATAATGCAATGCCAATAGCAAACAACAATTTCAATTATTTTAATCAAAATTGTTTGCATTATTGAAGCTTTAATTAAAAATAAGGCAACGAAATCAAATAACTAGTCGATAAATTCATGTCGGTTATATTGATTTTCGGATTATTCTCTTAATAAGCATTATAGAACGTTATTTACATAGATAGGAACTCAAAGTACAGTCACAAGTAAAATATTCAATATTTTCTGAAAATAAAGATTCTACTAAACAATAGATACTAAAATAGAAATTCATTAAATTCCAACTACTGTGGTGGTAGATACAAGAAAATTGTTTTAAAATTTATTCGCTTTAAATCTATGTTCGTTTCCCGAGGAAGAGCTATTAATTCGGTCAGGATTTCCTAACGTTTTCATGTGTGGGTTTTATTTTAAAAAGAACAGTTTTTGTCACATAGATCGCTTCGTTCCTTTTTTTCCAATTACTGGTTTTTGTATTTTCTTCTCGCGCGATGCGCGGTAACGTATTTATATTACGAATTACTTCAATTAAACTTTTTAAGCACAGAACTCGAATTTTGTCAAACTTTAGAAGAAGGTGCTTATATCATAATTATTAGGTAATTTTTTATCTGAGTGTTTTAAAGTAGACTCAAAATTAGCTGTTTTATTAAAAATATTGGATACACTGATTTATGATTGCTATTAAATTACAATCTGTCAGATTTGTGACACCTGTCAATTGAATTCAAAAGTGTCTCTTTAACATTTCCATTTCATTACACATTTATAATGTTAGTTATAGTCAGTCATACTAGAAGAGTCCAAAGCTTGTATAAGAGAGCTTTAAGAAATATACAAGCTTGTTTCAATGGGAGATGTTTATATAGATACAATGCGGTGTTGATGAGAAAGCGATTCGATGATAACAAAGGTATCAAAGATATGACCATTGCCAACGACTTGATAGAAAAAGGAGAAAATGAATTGTTTAAAGGTATGCATGATGCTCCATTGAAATTCATTAATTCGCCAGGCGGCGTTGCTTATCAAAGAGTGGTAGAAACACCAGATTGGGTTTTGGATTATTGGCACCCACTCGAGAAAGCTCAATATCCTAAATATTTTGCTCGTCGCGAAAAAAGGAAAAAAGAATATATAAAAATGTGGCTGAACGAATATGGAAATGACTCATCATTTGAACCCCCTAAGTGAAAATCAATCGAAGCAAGCTTCTTCTATTTAAAACTGATTAGCCTGCAGAGTACAAAATATTATTAATAAAATAGAGAATTTAATTACACAAATGTAGTCTTCAAATAAAACTAAAGAAAAGTGCGCTTTTTTCAAATGTTGATTTAATAGTTTGTAGCAACAGATTCAACTGCCATCATTAAACTAGAAAATATTGCAAAAACATGAAATTGCTCTTCGTGCTCTTTTGTGTTGATTCAAATTAATTCATCTGGCACGATCCATTCGTGCTTCGAAGTTGAAGTAGTTCCTACGCTTTATCGTTGCAGAAAAATAAGTAAAGTGATTATCTTTTTTTATCTACCTACTTGGTGTTAAAGTAATTTTATAATTATTAATTAATATACGACTATATTTAAATATGTATACATAACGTTTGCTCCATTTCTGATTGCAACATGGTCATTTCTATGAGTAGAACAAAGAAAGATTAATAAAATAACAGTTGTCAGAGTGAAAAGTTGCAATGACACTAATGTCATTCTTTCCTTTTCCTTTATAAGTGTCTAATGGAAGTTATCTTTATCGCACCTATGGTCGAAATATAACCTATGTTGCGATCAAAAATGAAGTAACCGGTATAATTCATGCAGAAACAAAACGTATTGATTTAGATAATGTATTTACCTTTAGTGTGTCTGATCATGTTGAAGCTCTTGTATCAATCATGCCAGTAAATGATCATTAACTCACTATGAGTATAATAAAAAATTCTTCAAGACGCGCTAAAGAAAGTGTCAAAACAATAACAAAGAACAGCAAAAGAAGGCAGCACATTGACAGATCATTTATCAATTTGTTCCAGTCTCCCATCAACACCACCCTTGTAACACTTGGTTTGTTTTTTATTAAATTCTTCATAATTTAATAAGTAACTTCATACATGGCATTTTCTCATATCATTCACATAGCTCAATAATTGGGAATAAGAGTTTAAAAATCTTCAGCGCTACTATCATATGCAGCCAACGAGCATCAAAATCAAATTAATATTCTTATTCAGTGTAAAATTTGGATAATAAACTGAGGAAAGCATCCATACATCTATCATTTCATGTCATTGTTATGATTCTCATAAAATCTCGAAGGGAAAATTACTTTAATCTCTTGTGTACATAAATAAATCGATTTTTGATTATCGTTCTCGATGAGTCTAATACGAAGTGTATTTTAGTAGCAGTAAACCAGATCAGTAAAGTAGAAAATGTGCATTTACGATTTTTTATTATACACTTCGAATTTATCATTTAAAACGTTTATAAAAGCACAAAATAAGGAGTAGTTAAATGTTACATTTTTAGTCAAAAATTCATTAAAATAATAATGGAGCAGGATGCAAATTAAAAAAGTTCTTTACGAAACAAAAGCTTTTTACTATCTTCATCTCTACTATCGTTCATCTTCATTACGAGCCCATATTGAATAATAGGTATACTGAGGTACTTTTCTAAGAGTTCATGTATTCCGTCTGATTTTGATCTGTCCTTGAAGAACAAACGAAAACTTTTACTCCATGTAAAATTTCATAAATTCTCTTACCGCTGTTCTCTCCTACATCTCTATGCAAATGAGAAGTTCTAATCTAAGTTTATGAAAGTTTTCGCGATAAAATTAAGAAGTAGCTCAGAAGACGAATAAAAATGCTATTGTTCTTTAAAGAACTGGATTTTAAAATTAACGTTTTAATATTACTCTAACATTCTCGAATATACGTCAATTTTGTTTTATACTTTTTGATTAGGTAGACTTAGCTTTGTTTCTAAGCTAAAAATTCCTTGTTGGATCTACGATTGTGGATATGTAGAATTACTATTAGATAAGAAGAATGTAGTTACAATTTTGAACTCAAATTTATGAAATTTCAAATTTTAAGCCAAAAAACATAACTTCAACAACTAAATGACTTCCCTACTTTATAAATTTAAAAGTGCCTATAGAAACTTCATATCTACATATTTTCAGCAAGGATATTTCAAATAATGTATTCCATGTCACGAGTATTTTTGAAATATTTCTACATATTCTTTACGAATTAGGCGAATACTGAGCCCTACCCTTCAGCTGCCAATCTGTTGAACCTAAAGCTCGTGAATATTAATCATGAGCCAGTCCAAAAATCTCGTCCCTTAAAATACGGTCAGCAATCAAACGGAAGCGAACGACTTTATTTCCGATATAAAATATATTCTGTTTAACGGATCGTATATCGCTATTCCTCTAGCTATCAAATCGCAGCACCATTAAACGTCCGAAATCGGCTAAGCCATAAAATATTCATTACGATCCTTCCTAAATCCCCAAAAATCCCAACAAAATAAATTTGTATCCTTTTTGTTTTAACCTTCCTCATTTTGTGAACGGTATATTAACATTAAGCAGCTGAACATCACAAGACAAGTCAAGTAATGTATGTGTCTAATTTATTTTAGTATCTAATACTCTTACGCAAAAGCCATAGACATTATATCGGATAAACAATTCTTTTCTTGTAGGTTCATCCATTCGTATATGTATTGCAAGAAATGACAATAAAATTGAAACTTTAATTAAAAATGGCGGTTTTTAATAAAACGAAAATTAAATCCAATATTTTTCAATATCTCTTAAAGAAATTGAATTTTTCTGAACGCCAAGCTGTGGAGGTGACATTTTCTGTAGAGAAATTATAATAAATTGGTACTACTTTTAAAAAATGTTGCCAAATAAGCAATTTAAATGTTAATTGATTAGAATATAAAGGTAAGTGTGGGTGGTATCTTATTAAGCGCATCCCGAGAAATCAAGTTTGCTTTTAGGGTGTAAAAATTATACGAAACCATCTAAAATAAGGAGGTAATTCGACACTTAAAAGAAGCAGCGAGTACAAAGAAACACTTTATGGTTATTTGAAATTGGATTGTTTTCCCAATGAGCTCACTGATTGTCACTTCAGAGTATTATTCTCTTGAGATAACACTCAAAATAATATTTCATTTTATCTCTTAAATTTTCTTTTATTTTCTCTTGAGATTTTAAATATGAATTTTCTATTTTTAATATTTGTTTGTCCTATTTATACAGGGTTATCCAAATTAAGTGTTCGTCACTGGTACTTTTATAATTTTGATATTACGACATCGGTTAAATTAGCAAACTATTAGTATTTTTTCCGCTGATTACAATAGTGAAAACAGAAGAACAAATTGAGCATCACGTTTTTGAGTTATTCCATTAGAGTTGTTCTATTAAAATATCCATCCAAAAAAATATTGTTTTGATCAATAACTCAAAAACGTGATGCTCAATTTGTTTTTTTGTTTTCACCATTGTAATCAACCGAAAAAATACTAATAGTTTGCTAATTAACCCGATGTTGTAATTTAAAAAATTTAAAAGTTACCAATGACGAACACTTAATTTGGATAACCCTGCATTAGTAGGAAGTTATAGGTTAAACCGAAAAATCTAACTTCTTTATTAATCTTTGCTAGAAAATTTTCATTTAGAATAAGTTATTTCGTAAGAATAAATGTATAATACATAAAAAGCGCTGAATAAAATGATGAATGAGTACATCAAGTAGCAATCCTATACATCAAGAATTTCCAACATTTTTAATGCAATTTCTTTATAATACATTCTGACTATGTAAAATTCTTGAAGTAAAAATATTTTATACAACCGATGCTATATTTTGAAGGAATTCTATCAATATAAATTATCCGATCTCAAGAAATGCGACCTCATTTTTTATGCTTCAGTTTCAGCAAGGGTCTAAACTGTCAGTTTCTTTTTAACGGAACCTTCCATTGAAGTAGCCGAAAAATTTAATCTTTCGCCTTCTTGTCCCCAAAAAGGTATGATAATTTGATTTTTATAAATCGTTTTCTACACGATTTATTGCCCCGGATGTTAGGTTTATTAGATTTATCCGCAAAAATAAAAACCTTACCTACTTCTAAAGGCGCGTCCAGACTAGTAAAAATTTGTGTTGTGTGTTGTGTGTAGTGTTCGGCGAAAATTTTTGTGGCGCAAATTTAGGAATAACTCGGCATAATTTTATACGTCGTGTGTCGTGTGTCAGGGAACCACACGTGCATTGAAAGAAGAATTTTAGTTTGTTGTTTTGCCCAAATTAAGTACGTACATACGTTAATAAAATGAATTTGAATAAAGAAGATGTAATTATTCTCATTCAGGAGTATCAAAAGCGTAGAGTTTTGTGGGATGCAAAAGATAAGTGGCATTTTAATAAAAATAAAAAAAACGATAGTTGGAACGAAATCGCGGAATGCCTAAATATAAGTGTTGACGATGCAAAAAAAAAGATATCGAGCCTTCTAGGCTCTTTTAGAAGAGAAAAGGCGAAGGGTAGGAAAACTTTGGGAACCGGCAAAGGTAAGTTATTTTGAAAATATAATTGCAATGAATAGAATAAGTAATTAATCAGCATTTTTAGGTGCAAAAGATATATACAAATCCGACTGGTTTGCTTTTAACAGCTTTGGATTTCTTATGGATAAAGATGATCCTAGGGAAACCGTTAGTTCGGAAGACTGGAAAGAAGTGAGTAAAAAGGTTTATTCATAGAGAATTAAGTTTGTTATCTCTTTTATTTTTGTTTTATCATTGTCTCACAAAATTAAAATAATATTAGAAAAATTCGAATACAATGCACCCTATTTCTAATTTAAGCATATTCATTTTGCCATGGAACAGAACCTGCAGTAGTAAAATACTCAGCAATCTCCTTTCGAACATCTTTTGCATTAAGAGTCGCTCTGCGTGGAAGATTTCTCAAGCTTGTCAAGCAATTGTCACCGTATGATTGCCTCCAGCTTCCTTGAGTTAAGCATCCGTTTTCTTCCCAATCTACAGAACCCGGTGGAATATAAATATTTTGAGAAGTCTTACTGTTTCTTAAAAAGTTATGCAGAAAAATTGCTGCCATAACTACCACTTTTGCTTTATTGGGCTCCAAGAGAAGAGGTTTTCTAAACACTCTAAAAACTGATGAAATAATACCAAAAACATTTTCAACCACTCTTCTCGCTCTACTAAGTCTATAATTGAATATTCTTTCAACTGATCCTTTTGGATGTGCTCCTGAATATGGTTTCATGATTCGTTCAGTAAGTGGAAAAGCGTCATCAGCTATGAATACATAAGGCGTATCATTCTGCCTTCCGGGCAGAGCTTTTGCTGGCGGCAAGTTTAGTATATTAGCCGCGATTCTACGATAAAGTTCACAATTTTGGAAAACTCCACCATCAGAAATTCTGCCCTGACATCCGATATCAAAAAATAATACGTTGTAATTTGCATCGACAAGTGCAAATAATACTATACTAAAAAAACCTTTGTAGTTATAGTATTCACTTCCGCTGTTTATTGGTGCTTGAAGAATTATGTGCTTTCCGTCCATGGAACCTACACAATTTGGAAAATTCCACATTGTCTCAAAACCTTGCGCAATCATCAACCATTCTTCTTGGGTGTTGGGCATCTGCAATCAAATTTTTTATTTATGAAGGCTTTAAATACTGTATTATAACAACTGCTATTTAATCTATGTTTTACATTCTAGGACGAAACAGTTGAAGCAGTTGAATTGATTGAAGAATCTGGCGAAGACAATATACCTATTAGCAAAAGCAGTGAATCTGATAACATTCAATCGCCAGAGTGCGCTGCAAAAACAACAAAACGGGTTGTCAGTAGGCAGGAAAAAGTAGGCACATCGGCATTCCGGAAACCTTCTACTCCTAAAAAAAGAAGAAAAGAAAAAGAAGATCCTCGAATTGAACAAGCTTTCCAATTATTGCAACAGCCGATACCAGAAGAAAATTCTTCAACTATTTATGCAAAGTATTTGGCCGATCAACTTGAAAAGTTTAGTCCAGTAACCCAAGCTGTTTTGAAGCATAAAATAAATGCATTAATTTTTGATGCTGAAATGGAGAAATATAATGCACAAAGAGTGGAAAATCCTTATACTGCAAGTATACTGTCTCAACCGACTAGTTTTTATTCGCCTGCCTTTGCTTCTCGTCCTACATCAACTGGCTTTGGTTCACCAGCTATATCAACTGGCCGCCCTTCACCTGTTTCATCACCTGCATCCACTACTCCAGTAAGCGAGATTTTAAGGCTCACTAATGAAGCGCTTGAAAACTCATCGTCAACAGACAGTCAAGTTTCGGCAGATAAAGTAGCTTTAGAATTAACCGAATTTGTTTATTTGACTGATAATTAAAGTTATAGTAGGGTTTAATCAACCAATTACAGATTGTTCAGTTTTGTTACATTTTTTTTATATTTTGGATATTTCTAACTACTCGTTTTTTAGAATACTTTTTGTTTTGATATTCTTATGTTTTTTTTACTTACGAGAGTGCTTTTTAAGTTCTGTTTCAAAAATATAAAAATCTCAATTCCATCTATTTACTTACCTTAACGTGTTCCTTTAAAGCTTCAATTAAAGCACTGCAGACTTCTGGAATTATCACAGATATGCTTTGCTTGGATATCTTGAAAAGATATTGTAAGCTTGTGTACGAATCCCCTGTAGCCAGAAAGCGTAATGTCACAGCCAATCTTTCCTTTATAGGTATGGATTTCCTCATATTTGTATCCATTTTTGCAATTTTTGGTCCAATTTTATTGAGCAAAACTTCAAAGTCATTTGGAGACATTCTCAAGAAATTTCGGAAATGACCAGTACTTTCATCCAAGGATAGCACATTCAATAACCTCGTACCACTTGATTGTTTTTTGTATAAATGTTTTATCCAATAGCGCCTGCTTTTCTCACTCGATTTGTTTTTTTCTTTTGAAATAAGGTGATGCATGACAATAAAGGCAGCACACTTTCTTTTCATTAAAATCAAATCCGACATATTGTTTTTTTAGTAAAATTATTATTCCTCAAAACCTCAAGACAGAAATTCGACACAAACCGTTTTCACAACTAAACAAGTCTACACTTAAACGTTCTTGCGGCGCAAATCTCTTTGATGTCGGAAAGAAAACCGACAAGAGACGGCTCGCGTGCGTTGAATGTGACGAAAATTTTTGCGTTAATTTTGTGCGGCGAATACGTCCACATTTGTTATAAATTTACGCACAACACAAAAATATTCGTCAAATACAACACACAACGCAAATTTTTACTAGTCTGGACGCGCCTTAACAAATTTTTAATAACACCTAAAACCAGCTTTACTACTCTGATGTTCTTTTAAGTCACCTTATATATTTATTATTTTAGTATGTCAACACAGTAATAATTAATTTTTAATACATTTAACGCTAAATAATCCTTTGGTCGATAAAACAAAGCTGCCTCAAAGTGTAAAATTAAAACGGCATAAATTTGTGGCGTGGGTTTGATATATTACCGGATAGTGTGCCGGGTAATGCACTAACAAACGAAATAATATTACGTGGTTTTGCACACGGAAAGAGATTAGTTTCACCGACTAGGGGATTATATTGCATTCAATAGCTCCACCTATATTCAATCCCATTCAATTCCATGATTCTTGAAAGCCCTACCAATAGCCCGTGTATTAACGATTTCTCTTTAGTTTCTTATTTTTTGCGTAAATCGGGCAACGACGCTTCCAACCACCAGCCACCGCCCCATCCCGAAACATCCGTGGGTGCGAACGAGACGGCGTGCTCGCTCCGGAAGGCGTTTCAGAAAGAGATCGTGTACGAGGTGACGCAGACTCCGGTCGCAACAGAGCGTTGTCAAGGCGACAGACCAACAGACATCCTGTTGTGTTATGTTCTGATCCTATACTGCTGACACTGGAATGTCCTGCGACCATGGGCGAGGAAAGTGGAACAACGGCCAGATGGCAGCTAAGTGCACAGGAGCGGAAGGATGACGGTCGTGTACAGGTGGTCGGTTAATTAAATTTTTATAATTCGACTAAGAATTTGAAACTGTATAAAATTTAATTAGAGCCTGAATATTTGGTGGGAAATAGGGATGTTTAATAGCGACATAACTTTTTTGTTCTTTTCTCATTAGGTAAGAGATTACCTTTTTTACACATTGTCATTAACTAATAATAAAATTTTTGGTTTCATTACAATATTTATTCAAAGCTTATATTCCTGTGTGGAAAATCTTGCTCGCATAAAAATTGGCAAAACAAAATTGTGTTGAAGGTGCTATTTTTATTTATAAACATACAAGTACATACAATGATCAATTTTCCACGGTATGGCCAACCTTGAATTATAAATAGACCAGTTATAGGTAGAGGAAGTACGCCATATATGGACCACCATAAGCACTTTTCTCAATAAAAAGTCGAATTCTAATATTTAGTCAAGAAAAACTCTACTCTCTAATAAAATTCTACAAAAAAACAAAATCTTTGAAATAAATAACATTTTCTAAAAGTGTATCATTTTTGTGAACTTTCAGAAAGTTGATACTAATATGGACCACATCCAGATTTTTCCATTTCTAGAATATTCTTGACTAATTCTTCTTCCAATTCACTCGGTTATGTTAATTGTCTCCCTAGTTTTTGGGTGGTGATATCATTAAGTGATTTGTTTTGGGTGTATGTTTTGGAAGCATTCAAAAAGCCCATTTTCTTTTCTTAGGCATTTTTAATTGGCTCCTCCATTGCGTTTTTTTGTCCCATGTTTGTCTGGTCTTCTCTATTGTTTTAGAAGCCATTCTAGACCGAAAAATTAATTTTTAGCCTACACTCTATATTTAAAACGTTTCACTAGTCCATATTGTTATACTTACTCATTTTGAGATTATTATTTTTTTAGGAAAATTAAATTATAGAATATTAAAGCTTAATTAAGCCTTTCAATTAATTGTAACATAACTTACCTTCCTCGTGGTCTTATTCACTTTCACATAAAATAGTATTTTTTGGATTAAAAAACTTCCAAAGTTCGTTAGAAAATTAGATTGCGCGTTACAGAAAACTAAAAAAGGCTGCCGTAAATAAATACTTGCATTCTGGATCACTACAAGCGACAGATGGGTCAAGGGAGGAATGATGCTTAGTATGTGATGATCATTTACTCGATATAGAGTAGATAATCTACCTTATGAAAATCTACGTTATGAACAAAAATTTCCAAAGTGTACATTTTTATACAGCCCTATACAGAAAAAAAGTAATGTTAATCAGGAAAAGATTAAGTGACTAAAACCGGATATTACCTTTTATTTCGTTAGACTTTTATTTCAACTTTGGAATGGATGGAATGATTATAATTGGTTTTTCCTCCACTTTTTCAGCTTAACTGGCAATTTCGACACGATATCGCGTTTACCCTCCTGTCTGATGAAAAAAATCCCCATCAGAGCCGTAACGGATGATAATGATATTAAATATTTATTACCTTCGAAAATAAATTTTAGATAAATCAAAAATTAAATATAATTATGATTTGTAATTAAATTTATACAGTAATTTCAAAATTATACTTAATTTAATTTAAAAAATAAAAGTTCTTGAATGAAGAATCCACACACATATTTTTTTAGTATTCGTATTTAGTATATTTAGTATTTAGAATTTTATTACAATTTCGTGTACGTCACTGTCATGACCATAATTCAAATTTTGTAAAAAATCATGCTTTCAAATGTTCACGGGGATACGGGATGTAATGTGTTGAAAACAAAAACAAATTTATTAACGTGAAAAACGTTTAGAGATTCGTTAATTGTTTCACAAATGTCTTTTGATGGACAGTGAAATATTTGATTTCGTTCGTAATACGCCATAACACCGTTTAATGGAGAATTACCTACCTGTTGTTATTAATAAAAATAAAGAGCATAACAATGCTTTAAATTCAAAAGCGACATTCGTTGAATTACTCTTGTTTGGCGTTTAAGCGCTTATTCGAATCAATTAAAATCGCCAAATCATCCATAGATTAGTAAATCGTAACTGTAAACCAAATTAAACCGTCAACCAGTACAGTTGATTGAGCTTTGAACGTGCTAAGCTTCAATTATTTATTAGTGCGAGGAAACTTAGATGTATCTGCCAGATATTCATCGAGTGATCGGTTCGTTAAACCCAAGTTGACTCACCGTTTAATTTGATGCGGTTGAAGGCGGTTGAACACGCAGGACACTTTGAATGTTATTTTTTACATAAGAGAAATTCGTCCGGAAAAACACCGTGATGAAAGAATTCGGACCCGGAAGTGGAAGTTTGTTGACACGAAAGCGGGGAGGAAAGTTCGTATAAAAATTTCCCTTTATACTCCTTGTAAATAATATTGTATGATAAAAATCTTTAGACTTATATCCCTAGGCATATATATTTGTGGCGTCTTACTATTTCACGTTTCAATAAAGCGCTATCGATTCAATTTCAAGAAGTTCTCACGGAATTGTCGACTAGAATACACAGACAGTACGAGTACGAGTGCTATTTAAGGAAGTTTCTCTGCAAACTCAAAGGAACTTCCTCATTACAAAACTTCTGAATAAGTAAAACTATTGATATTCAATACCCTTTTGTTTGATTTTATCTTGATATGTGATGTGCGATTCCTCTTGTATACATATATTTAGGTATCCACATAAGGTGTTACGATCGTGAGACTTGAATGTTAATTTTTAGAAAATTTAAATATCTATTTGTCATTAGAAAATAAATTATGAAGAATCTCTCCTAGGCTATGAATAAATTTACAATAATGGTGGATGTACTTAACAAGTCACCAATTTAAAAAATTGTTGGACTCCAAATAAACATGCATCCACCAATTCTTGTAATTAATTGAAACACCTAATTTACAGCATTATACTTTTCTAACATGTAGGGTATATCAACATTTCTATATGTAAATATAAAATAATCGATTCAAATCCAGTATAATTTACACCAAGGATATCATTTACATATTTTTATCCGAATCTCGTAATTCTACTATTTTTGTTTACAGCAAGAATTTATTCGCCGGATATATATTTACATTCGGATTTTCTTCTACAATTCGCTAAAACATTCGAGCAGAAATTCTTTGCGAACAACCGCATATTTCCCTAAATAAATTATTGATGCTATATACCTGGGTCTAGAAAGCTGGTATATCGTAAACTCGAACTGTGAAGCACGACCTCAAAGTACCTCTGGACGGATACGTGTTAAATTTTGTAGAACAAGTAACAAAGCTTTCTACGCGATACAATTTAATACAATTGCCTGAGTCTAAAATTTTTTGAAACGTAAGATTGTTTACATATAGTTCCTACTTCTCGGGCTGTGTATTATTTGCATGCACAGTTTACAATGGTTGCAAATTTCTGGTGTTCTTGGTAGTATAATTGTTTCAAACAAAGTTAATTGAATTCATAGAATAGAGGATAATTATATATTTTACGATTTATAAGCGAATAACTTATTCCATAATTAATTCTGCAAGCGATTTAAAATTGATGAAACAAAAATTTGTATGAATAATTCTTATTTCGTGGCGCGACAAGCCTTAAAGTTAGAGTGCTGCTGAAATTTTTGTATACATTAATCCTTGGAACAATTTGCGTCGGCTGCGTATTTAAAATTCCATTGTCTCGTTCAATTTCCATGCATATTAACGTATTTTTTGCCGAGCTTTAGCGTTTCGTTCAACCCGGCAATTTTCTTACATGTAAGTATTTGTTTGAAGCAAGAAAGTCTTTAAAGAAATGCCAACAACACACGCTGATCATCTTTCAAGAATGTGATTCGATTAAATAGGCGCGTGTATGCAGACTTTTTTTTCCATTACATTGACTGAAATAAGTGACTTGTATAATAATAAAATAAATATTTTTTGAAGCTACTAACCTCAACTACTAAAAGCTATTCAGCCGAATAATCAAGAAATAAGAATATTTTTGCGTAGTTATCTTTTCCACATGTTAGAAATGACACAATTTGAGCTCTAAATAATTTAGGTTTATAAGTTTTCTCCAGAAATTTCACTATTTACTCTTTTAAGGGTCAATTGTACACTATTTTTTTTACTCGCACTGTTAAATATATTTCAGATGATAAAGGAATTTGCTAATTATAGTGAGCCTCTGAAAACGTCCACCGTTTAGAAACGTGAAACAGGTACCCCTAATTTTCAATTTTTTCTTGTCATTTTGACATTTGACAATTTTAGAAAATTTTTAAACTTTGTAAAGTCTATAAAAGTTCGGCAACATTGGCTACTTTTACGTAGGTACATTTAAGTTTGTTTTCTAATAGGTTGTTTAGGTATAGGTATAGACCATTAGTTTAGTTCATCTTCGAGCACTTAGTTAAGTTTTCAGATAAAAGTTTAATCGAGATTAGAGATAATGGTCAAGTACCAATTAGCATTTTAAGACGAAAGTTGCAGTAGTCATAGGTAATTGGAAATTTCAAGAGCGTTGTCTTCATGGCAATTTGTTAGGTGTCTTCACTGGGAATTTTCCCCACGAAGGAATAATTAGATTAGCATTGCGCCGGATTATGCAAAATGCAACAGAATCCTCCGGATTGGCTAGCTGCATGACCCGAGCACACTCGCCAATTTCAACGCGAAGTAGAATTTGTCTCTGGCGAACAAAATTGCAGCGCGCGAATCGTAATGGATTGGTAATGTCTGTACAGGGCGCTTGACTCTAAGACATTTGACACATGTTTTGCATAATAAAGGAAGTATTCGAATATAAACGATGCACCAAATAATGCATAGGAAGTACTAAAATAGTGGAAATAAAGAAATAAAGGAACGACATAATGGAGACATGTGGATATAAAAACTTCGCTTCGCGTAGTTAAATGCACG